TGACGAAAAGGCAGAAGTTGGGATTCTAATTGGCTATTGCAGCAGTACCAAAGGTTATAAAGTTTATCAACCTTTGACTGCAAAAGTGATAGTCAGTAGAGACATCCATTTTGATGAATACGCAACATGGGACTGGATCAATTCCAAAGTTGAACATTTCAAGGGATCAGAAGCTAAAGAATTGCAGGAGGAGAATATTGATGAATCAATAGATCATATTCCAGTTAGAGGTGCCAAATTACTCTCTGACATTTATAACAAATGTAATGTTGCAGTTCTTGAACCTGCAGATTATAAAGAAGCTGCCAAAGACTTGAAGTGGATCAAGGCAATGAAGGAGGAGTTGAGAATGATTGAAAAGAATCAGACTTGGGCGCTTGTGGACAGACCAATTCACAAGAAACCCATTGGTGTAAAGTGGGTTTTTAGAATCAAATTAAATGCTGATGGTTCCATCAACAAGCACAAGGCAAGGTTGGTCGTCAAGGGATATGCTCAACAATTTGGAGTGGACTTTTCGGATACATTTGCACCAGTAGCAAGATTTGACACCATCAGGTTGATCCTAGCACTTGCAGTTCAAAAGGACTGGAGAGTTTATCAACTTGACGTCAAGTCAGCATTTCTAAATGGCTACTTGAAGGAAGAGATCTTTGTGGAGCAACCTCAAGGATTTGCAGTGAAAGGTCAAGAAGACAAGGTGTACCTACTTCACAAGGTGCTATATGGCCTAAAACAGACACCAAGAGCCTGGTACAGCAGGATTGATGATCATCTTCTGAAGATTGGATTTAAGAAGAGTTTGAGTGAATCAACTCTTTATGTAAAAATTGTCAATGATGATATAATTGTTATTTCACTATATGTTGATGATTTGCTTGTCACAGGAAGTAAGCCAATCTTGGTAAATCAGTTTAAGGAGCAGATGAAGCAAGTCTTTGAAATGACAGACTTGGGAGAGATGTATGTCCTATTTTCTTGGCATGGAGGTTATTCAATCTCAACAAGAAATCTTCATAAGTCAGCACAAATATGCAAGAGATGTGTTGAAAAAGTTTAATATGGAAAGTTGCAAATCAATTAGCACTCCATTGATGGAGAACGAGAAGCTTAGAAAAGATGATGGAGCTGCCAAAGTTGATGAAGGCTTATACAGAAGTCTTGTAGGTTGTTTGATGTATCTTACAGCAACAAGGCCTGATATTATGTATGCTGTGAGTTTACTGTCTAGATTTATGCATTGTGGAAGTGAGTTGCACTTCAAAGCTGCAAAAAGAGTACTCAGGTATGTCAAAGGCACTGCTGACTTTGGAGTTTGTTTCAAAAAATCAGAAAAATCGAAGTTACATGGCTATTCAGATAGTGATTAGTGACTGGGCTGGTTCATATGATGATATGAGGAGCACTTCTGGATACTTGTTCAACCTGCGTTCTGGATGTTTTTCATGGAATTCTAAGAAGCAAGATGTGGTAGCTATGTTGCTGCTACGGCCGCTGTTAATCAAGCCTTATGGCTTAGGAAATTGTTAGCTGATCTAAATCAAGTTCAACAAGAAGCTACTCAAATTTTTGTTGATAATGAAGTTGCTATAACTATTTCCAACAATCCAGTGTTTCATGGGAAGACTAAGCACTTCAAAATTAAATATTATTTTCTTCGAGAAGTTCAAAAGAATGAAGAAATTGTTCTAGTTCATTGCAAGACTGATTATCAGATTGCAGATATTTTTACGAAAGCCTTGTCCAAAACAAGGTTTGAATGCCTAAGAAGACAGTTGGGGATCTGCAGTAAAAGTGCCAAGGAGGAGTGTTGAGATATGTCAACTTTTCCTACAGATTTTATCAGATTAAATTTGATATCAGAATCATTCAATTGGTAGAAGAATAAGTCTTATTGTTAGGATCAAATATTTTTGCTAAGATTTGCTAGGTAGAAGATCATGTTATTAAGTAGTTTTTGTTGAGATTTTCTAGAGAATTGTTAGTTGAAATTATCTTAGTTTGTTTTTTTGTAAGCACTATAAATAGGGTGTTGATGAATGAAGAAATCAAGCTCCTTTTTCAGCCCTCAATATAGTCTTGATATCTTTGTTTATGCTTCAAAAACCAACACAAAGTTTATGATTCCTTCAGAATTTCCAGGGGCTACAGAGATATCTTGGCTTGCACAGTGGATAGCTGCTCAAGTAACACCCTGACATTTTGAGTGGTAAGCAAATGAAAATCTATTGTGATATTGGATCAGGAAGAACCAAATGTACATTGTTACTCTGTAAGACGATTGACTTAAAGGTTATTTGTTGGGATTGATACCACATGTAAACTGTATCTAGGAGGCACATCAGTGAATACAGTATATTACTTCTTGGTGAGTTGTTAATCCTGCAATATTTTCACGAATCGATTCTAGAATCATACACAATGCGAACTCAAGAAGTTGGATTGTTACGTTACTAATGTTGCAATGTTTTAAAGAAATGAATGTAATCCTACTCAAGATACTGGATTTTGTATTGAGTTCTTCCCAGTTAAAAGGAAAGACTTGGAAAAGATTCACCCATCATTCATATCAACAACAGGGATTATTCAAGTGGTGCCCAGCCAGAAAAACGATAAATGGCACTTCAAGCCACAAGCAGCGTTCAGACAAACCCCTGGCCATTTACGGCCACATTTTCCATGTAAGGTTAGATGGATAAATGATTATAACTATATCTGACTCTCATTAGGTTGCTCCACACACCCCCTAGTCCTTGAATCTAGTGGCCTGGAGTTGGAGTGGCCGCGTAATGCCAAATAAGACCTTTTCAATCTGACATCAGTTAACACTACAGGCACTTGGAAAAATGGCTTACCCAGGCAAAATGAGAGGGGGAAAAAAAGGAAAAAATGGCTGGAAGATCATCTTGTTTGGCAAATTGTACAACAATTTTGAGCATACTCTTCTCTTGATTCAAGGGTTTTTCTATTTTTAAGTTTCTCTCAAGTTTGTTATGTTCTAAGGCACTTACTTATGGCATCCTAATGGTCCAATTTGACGAAAAATAACAGAAATTTTGCAGTCAGTTGTAAGGCGGTTTTGTTTTTCAAGGAAGAAGGGAAAACGTATGGATTTATGGATTGTGGCAGCAGCTGCTGGTGCCGGCTATCTGGGCAAACACCTGCAGAACTTATCACTGAGTGAGAAGGAAAAATTAGTGGAATCCTATTCCAAAATCTCAAACCTCAGGCAATCAGAACCCCAGAATTTTCTTCAGCAAATTAGGGACAACACTTGTCCTTTACGCAGATTGGCACAAAAAGATGCACATATGGAAGCTGCTTCCGAGCAAAATGATGTTTTGGACAGGCCTTTGGAAATGGATCAATTTAACGGTGGTTCAGTTTCACTACTTACAAGGGCATCCATCAGTGGAAGTGTTAGAATGGTGGAAGATATGGATGTAATAAAGTTATCTAGTCAAGCACCCGGACTTGGCGAAAGCAAAAGCTGTTCAAACGATATGGAGTTTATGTATGGTAGTAGTCGGAGTTCTGCAAGACTTAGCAGGTATGAATTACTTAAAAGTAGGTCTTCCGGCTCCGGGCATATTCTTGAACCTTTAGGTTCTGTAGAAAATCATCTTCAAAAGATAGGTGACTCTGCGCATACTTCACTTCCAACACCGCTTGCTCCAACAAAAGGACTAATGTTGGTATCTAATGGAGATCGAATTTTGAGACGATATATTGGTAATTCACTTGATTCATTGTCTACTGATGTGGAAGATAACCCGAGTGATGCCTGCCATAACGACAGTTATGCCTTTTCGAGTGCTCCATCCTTTTATGACACTGAATCAGTCGAGTTGCAAGAGCAGGTCAAACGAAAAAGTTCCCAAGAAAAGGTGCTTGGCGGAGCAGATCAGTCATCAGGTTGTTCTACTTGTTCTGCAGTGATGAAATTATTTGGTGTCTAATTCTCTACTGAATCCTTTATTTCTGCAGGGATGTTTAAACTGAATGCTTGTCCTATTGACTGTTAAGAAATGTAAATATGGAACATTCACGATTAAGAAACGTAGATAGTACAATGTGTTGGTGTGTTCTTTTACACTCTTTAATTTTGTTATTCCTTTTATCACAATGTCATCAGAGCTACCCAGCGGGATGCTCCTGTTCTTGATTGGGTTGACAATTGGCATAACGCCTGAAGTTTTTACTTATACAAGGGAAGTTAAGAAGCTGAATGAGAAACTAAAACTGGCCGAGAATTTAGTTCAAGATTTACAGGAGGAGCTTGATATGAAAGATAAGCTTACTGTGAAGGAGCTTGCCGGGGAAATTTCTCAGCCTCTGAGCACAAAGAATCTTTCTTCATTCAATGAGGAGCCTACTGTGTCGTGCTCTGATCCAGGTGATGACAGCATAACCAGTTATGACAGCAAATTGTCCATGAGTAAAATTGAGGCAGAACTTGAAGCTGAGCTGGGGAGGCTGGGAATACATACGGATCTGGAAAGAACATCCGACTTTGGGGAGGTAAGCATGCATCCAAGAATTTGAACTTTACTTGAACGCATTAGAATTGATGGATTGTAGTCCTGCTTCAGCATATGTTTTCTTCATGATCGAGACACAGGCTTCTCATCTGCTTCCTGAACTGTTCTTTTGTTAATAGATACCTACACTAGTCATCTTTCTCACATTTCTTGGTTAATAATAATTTCCCGAATATTTATCATCTAGGCAATTTAACTGCTTAAGTCTTTTTTCGATCTCTTTCCACCTCCTGGCCTCCCTAGATAATTTTACAGGCAGAGGACATTGAATCAGGAGTCGCACGAAATATTATGTGCTTCGATATATTATCTTCAATTATTTTGGACAATCTGGGGACTTATTGGACCACCAGCTACATTGCAGCATGTCTTTTAAAGGTTTCTTCTTGCTGCAGTGTTCCCAATAAGCAAGTGAATGACTTCTTTTATTTGTGAATAATATTAACAGGCATGAAACTAGGAAAACTTTGTGGTTGATTTCAAACTATACCATTCTTCATTTTTGGGCTAAGTTATAAAAGCATCTAATGGATTGAATGGTTCATCAGACTGATTCACAATGCGAAGTAGACACCATTCGAGGAGATATAAAGTTAGATGCTCTCAGAAGACAGTATGAAAATGCCTCCGAATCGGTATCAGATGAAGACAGTGATACCACCAATGGACCAACTCCACCTGCAAATTATGCAGTTTCCCCCCGCGAGTTGAGTATGCGGTTGCACAAGCTAAGAGAATCAAGACTTGAAGCTCGTATTAAGGAGCTTGAAAATGCGCTCCAGAACATCCAAAACGAATTCCATTCTCTGGAACCACAATGCATTACGTCTCTTGACTCTGCATACAGCGACGGAGAATCATTATCAACCCCAGAAAGTCCTCATCAGCTCTGCCGGAATGCTACAGATACGTTAGACGAGGTGAATGGAAGGACGAGCAAAGTGACAGGAAAAGATCGAGAGGCTAATTATGCAGTACTAATCCCAAACCCATCAACCAAGAACTTTCCCCATTTGAGAGAGCACCAGACGACGTCCCAAAGAGCAGAGACGATGGGTTCATATCTCGGCGGAGACAAAAGATCCAGTAGCTCCTTTCAGATGGACTGAGACCCCTGAAAAAGCAGTTATGAAGAAGCATTGCAGCAAAAGATGGTGGTAAATTTGAAGAAATATACAGATGGTTGGGAGACTTCTTGACAGCACAGATCAGGGTCTTCAGCAGTTTAAAATGCTGAAGAGGTTTAGCAACATGCAGATCAGAACCAGAAGACTGTATAGATGGTTTAGACAGGAAAATACTAAGTATACAGTAACAGGCAATAAGGAAATTCCTCAAAAGAGTCGTCCATATTGTCCTTCCCCTACTAGGAAAAGGAAGGAAAGATATTCAAATAGATGAATGAAAGACTGAACTCATCGAAGTTAGGTACTATATAGCCTCTGTGCTCAATTAGCTCCGACTACAGCTTACTTCAGATTGAAACTGAAAATGCTAGGAAATCTTTCCCAACAAAAGGCATGGCAAGGATGCTTTGTTTCTTTTTATTTGCAGAAAATGAAAGAGAGAAAAAAAAATTAAAGAGAGAGAGAGAGAAGAATATAGGCAGAAAGAGGGAAGAAATATGCAGCCTGTAGTTGAATTAAAGAGGGATGATAGACCTTAAATCTCACTAAAGTTCACAACTTTCGGCCCTTTCTAATTGAATCTTCATTCCTAAATTTTTTCCCCCTTAATCACTATATACATCATACGGAAAGAATTTTCTTATGCCTAACATATAACAAGAAGGAAAAATATAACGACCCACAGAGTATTCCGCTTATAATAAGAACCCAATTAAATGCGGAAGGAACGTCAAATATTGTTGCTTCAAAATTCATTCCAAATACAGCAGTCACCACAGCAAACACAGTTGCGACAAATGTGGCCCCCGTCAAAAGTAACTCAAATTTTATCAGCTGGTTCTGAACATTCCCCTGTGATGCAAACAGAAAATGACCTTTCATGATGCAGCATCAAACATGATGGGAAGCAATAATGATAATTAACAAAAACAAAATGTCAGATTTATGATCTTTTACCAGTTTTATAGTGATGAAGTCCTCAGTATCATCAATGTATTCTTTAAGCTGTATCACCAAGGAAAACAGAAGATTCTTAGTGTTCATGATGCAACACGGGATTAGTTTAAGCATGCGAACAAGCTAAATCAGCATACTTTGTTCAGTACAGACACTAAACAGTTAGCCTGTGTGTTGTGGCAATGATGCCCGTGCAATAATGAAATCTCAAAAAGTGTAATAAGAGCTGGATGGGCAAATGACATGAATTAAGGCCTTCAAGGAATGTCTAATGGGCGAAAGCGGAAAAAATATGCTATAGATATACAAGAAAAGTGAAGCACAGGCCTCTCTTACCGATAACAACTTGTTCAGAGTATTATCAATGAACACAAAGTAAGCCTCTAGCAACATTTCGAGTTGATCTATATTTTCTTCAATATTAGATGAACTTCCCAAGCTTCCCAGTTTACTTGAACTGATGCTGCTGAAAGCCCTCTGTAACTTTTGTACTCCAATACATGAGCCCACAGGTGAAACGGGAGCAGATTTTGATCCAACTCTGGAAGCAGTGAAAAAAGTAGTTTGATCATACTGCTCATTGTTGGCGTACGCTTCCTTTCTCTGTTTCTTCTCTGTTAAGTACATCTCGGCCATATCACCATCATCATCCATGAGATGTTCTATTTCATCACACACCTGAAATGTTGATTTAATAGCCAAAAATTGCAGCACTAGTAGTTAAGCATCATTTTAGTAGCAACTAAAATATGTAAGCATACCTTCTGCACTCGCTGAGTTAAAGCAAGGAGGTGGCCCTTCAATCGGCGGACATGTTCTAGATTAAGAGTGCTTATAGACGAGGCCAATTCGTCAAGGACTGGATATATCTCTATCTCCAATTCTTTCGCCTACTAAATTAGGAAACTTCATAAATATGTGGCTCGATATTAACACAAGCAGTTTGGCAAAAACACAGTTTATGTTCATACTGGTATTCCCGAAGCTATGGCATGCTGAAATGTGCATGGAAAAAGAATTTTTGCCCAATATCAACAAGAATAAAAATCTATTTTCTCTTAATAATCCAATGAAGGATCTTACTCCATCTGCAGAGATCTTAATTCTCAACTATCTTTAATGTGCCTAAACCAAAAACTATATGCTCTACAAGTAAGATAGAACAGCATAAAGAAGGAAGACCTACCATAAGCGACCTATTACAGAGTATAACATACCTTAGCATCAAGAGACATGCATGTCAATTCCAAAGCCAACTCCAAGGCCTTGAATTCAAAAGGTAGATCATCTGAATCAATCACCAAACAAGGTACACTAATTACTTGGAGAATTAAAAGGTAACTAATTACTTGGAGAATTAAAAACTAATGGGGGAAATACACTACCAGAAGAATCGTCAGCAGAAGGAAAGACATTATGTCACAAACTAATATGCACTAAAACTTCACTCTACACAACAGATACGCTGAAACATTCTTTGACATAAAGGGATACTGCCAACTAGATCTTCATTCCTTTTTCTCACGTCAAACCAAATGCTTCCCCATATCAATTTGGGAAAGGGTTAGCCAGCAAAGGGGAAACAACTAAATGTTTCACCTGGCATTTTGTGTTATTCAAGTACCACAAAGTTCAATGGCTTAGGGTACCATCAGGTGTATGCACTGGTGAATAATTATATCTTATAATCCTTCATATTGACTATTGGAATAACATATTGCAACAAAATAATCACCCAGCTGCCACTCATGACCCAACATAAGAAAATGGAATGTATGGCCTACTAACAAGTCCCAAGTCAGATAATGTGAAAAGGATGATTTAGAAAAGAATGACCTTTAGCTACAATTCAAGCATGATTCAAGAAGGAAGCCATGCTATCTCATGAATTCATCTCTTCTCTGCGCAGAAATAAACTCTCTGGGGCATGATTTAGTAATAAAACTGTCAAATCTAAGAGAAAGTATGGCCTTCCAATACATCTGCTCTTTTTCTTTTGGCCAAAAAATAATAATAATAATGGCACATTACTGTAGCAGGTATTGGTGTAACAAATTGAAATGCGCAGCAGCAGCCAAGTGGCGCTTCCTTTCTATATTACCAGTTTCCATTAAGTGAAACCACAACTGTAACTCAACCCAAATTAATCCGCCACTGGAACTCTTACCATGCGAAAGGGTTGCAGGCTGGAACTTTGAAAAGTGGAAGAAACGAATTTATAAAGCTACCTAAGATTTCATGGGATAAGAATTGTGTTGACCTGAGTTTCATAATAAAATGCAGCTTAATGTCCAATAGAGATCTTCTAGAAATCTGGAAAATCAATTTGGTCTTATTCTAAAACTTCCAATTATAAAGTAAACTCTGAAACTCAAAACTTCTGCATACCTATTCACTTTTGAAGTTTGGCTTTTACCTTAGATAAATTTATCAAAATTTGCAAACAGTTAAGCTACTGCCTTATCCAAAAGCTTATGCTCTTAGAGGTAAGTAACTTATTCACAAATACCAACCAAACACAAAGTGTAGTCCAACAGCATAAATTTAGTGTTATATGGTAAATAAGAAGTGCTAAAAAATGAGACTAATATAAACACATCAGCTTGATCTTTATTTGCTTGAGGGCGTTTGCACAATTCTCATTTAAAGTGAACTACAGATGCCTTATCCAAAAGCTTAACCTCTTAGAGGTAAATTATTCACAAACACCAACCAAACACAAAGTGTAGTCCAACAGCATAAATTTAGTGTTATATGATAAAGAAGAAGTGCTAAAAAAAAAAGAGACTAATGTAAACACACCAGCTTGATCTTTATTTGCTTGAAGGCGTTTGCACAATTCTGATACATAGTGGACTACAGATGCATCCAACGAATTCATCAGTATCACCTCATCAGCCGTGATTATACACCTAATCATTTCAAGATTAACCACGATAGCCTTTTCTCGACCTAGAATGCTGGAAGGATAGATAAACATTGGATCCAACAGACGAAGATCCCTTGATGGCAAAGAGCAATGCCTCATCACAGTAGCTTTATCCAATTCCAAAATCTTTGAATTCCCATTTTGATCAATCTTTACCCAAGACCGACTTCCAAGTCCATGCCCCCTCTTCTTAAACCCAGGATTGCCCAACCCACGAAAATAATCTTCAAGACGCCCATTTGAAGGAAACCTTGAATCGCTGTTACTTGGGACAAATTCAGGAAACTTGGAAGGAATTTCTTGAGTTTGACGTTCTGCCATTTGCTTAACTCAGCTATCAGACGGTTTAAACAGATCAGCATCGGCAATCAGATTGTGAGTGAGTCTCAATGCATTTTTGGCTGATAATTTGTTCAACAAAGCTCACAATTCTTTGTCATCATACTAAGGCCTATTTGTTCTCCATTGTATGTAAACCTGAATGATAATAGGAAAACCATGCATTCTCAGTAAGGCTGCTTATTACACAAGGTTTCCACAGCCAATAAGAGAAAAGAAATAAAAAAGAAGCAGTGACGTGCTCAAACACATTAAAGAATTCCCTCAATTATTAAGTTTACAAAAACAGATATTTCACTCAAAAAATCTCTTAAATTTACATTTCAGAGATTTTTTGTATGCTAAAAGTCCTGAGGCTTTCATTCACCTTTTCTGCACATTGCAATACAGTTCTACATGCCTGGGACTTCAAGAGATTGAATTCAGCAATTTGACAACAGAAGATGCACTAATCCAGCTGCTTTAAAATCAACATGGCCACTTGCAGCTGTCTTATAACAAAAATGTACTCAAGCTCAGCAATGAAGGTGAATTGAAAATTCAAGGCCATATGCAGCCACAATCTCATAACAAATGTGTACAGATCAATCAGGTCTTATATAAGAACACAAGATCTTTGCCCCTCATTCTTCCAAGAATCAGAAAGATCCTTATAAACAAGAAAAACTATTATGCAGATGAGTGATTGGGTCGCCATTGATACAACAATCATTTGTTACTGTTGGTATAAAAAAAGCTTGTATCTTATCATTGATACCCTCTCTGAGTAATGGAAAACAGTTTGAAAGCATGCAGAAGAAAGAAAATGAAAATAATAGTTAATTTCAATCTTATTTCTCTCCCAGGAAATAGTGGATAATATAGCACCCACAACATCCAAAACCTTTCATTTCTAGTTCCATCCTCCCTACTGCACCTCAGAAATGGAAAGCAATGAATACCAAAAATTGCCTGCTTATTATCATTATTATTTTTGGTTTCCAACTTCCATTATCCAAAATAAAGGGATGTGAAAATAAAGTCCACTACATCGATTTTTAAAGTCAATTTAATTTGCAAAAGTCACCATCCTGCCAAAAGCGGCATAACGCAACACCCTGTTACTCTGATTCTTCCACAAACACAACAAGGAAAAAGTTCAAAGTTTTGAAGCACATCCAAAGAATCACGAGTCATAAATCCCCCTCCCCTTTCAAACCCACCTCAATTTACACACAGAATTCTGTAAGGTCAAAAGATAAAACCCCCTCCCCCCCTCTCCCCCCCCCCCCCCCCCCCCCCCCCCCCCCACACAACACACACAAAGACGACTTCAGCTTTCTAGAGCTAAAATCTGAGACCCACAAAGCTGAAACCATCAAAATGGAGGTTAATTACTTTATCAACGTTAAGTTAACTTCAAGAAAAGCAATTCCAGCAATTATAGCTTATAAAAGTTGCAAAAGAAAACAGAAAAGTACAGCAGTCACGAATCCGAGCTGCACAACTATCTAAAACCTATTAACAAGATTAATAGAATGCACCCCAGATGTATATTCATGGTTGAATTCAAGCGTAACGCACAGTGAATTGTAGAAATGTAGGAATTAAAAATTTTACCTTTTTCAGGAGAAATGAAAACTTTCAAAACGGTGGGAAAGGGGAGAGTAGAGCTGTCACTTTCAGGAGGAGAGGAATTACATGTGAGCGAGTGTGCGTGTGTGGACTTTCAGGGATTTAATCTCTTCTCTGTTCTGATTCTTACGCTTCTACTGAAAAGCGTTAAGAGCACATGGGCGCTTCTTTAACGCAATTTAAGGTCCGTTACAAAATTGTACTGGTGTATTTTTTGGGTAAATTACTTATAACCCCCTGTAGTTCTATATAACACCAGATAATCCCCCTAAAGTTTTAAAATAGTCATATAACCCCCTATAGTTTTATGTAAAGTGAAAAAATGAATAGAAAACACAATTAATTACGGCGTTTATACCAAACGCACTCTAAAAGCACGTGTGACAAAATTTTAATATTAGTTGAATTGAATCCAAATAAGTTTTTATCTGATACTAACAATAAAAGCATAAATTCTAGTTATGTAGTTCTTTAAATTAGATTTATCATGGACGAGACCAAATTGACCTATGACTTTTTGCCTTTACACTTTCTGAATTGGTCTTACTAACTATCAAATAAATTTGTTCAAAAAAAGGAAATAGAAGAAAAGGTTTAGAAGGGAAAGAATCCAAGGTCTGAGAATGAAGAATAAAAATCTAATCGTGGATGGAGTTGTAAGAAAAGGAAATAAGCCACATTATGAGATTTCATATTCGACTTCTTAACTTGATGAATGCCATTGCTGCAAGGAAACGCCATGTAAATGTCGTAAGTATTCTAAATGAGTTTCTTTATTCCTTTGTTTTCCTTTCATGGGATCAAAATTGAGTCTCTTTCTTCAAAGCAAAGTATTTAAACAATTCCATTCGCAAACCCTAGGATTTATATCTCGTGATTCGTGAATGAGGGTTTTGATTCAGTGTTCAAACAACCAAATTTGATACTCCAAAAAATCCAAGGTATGGTAAAACAAACTCTTTTGGAATTATCTGCTTGATAGAGTTTTCATTCACTTCTCTTGCATTCTAATTTCTCAGAGAATCTCCATATTGATTGGATCACTGAATTTCATATTCTTATTAATTTCAATTTTTATACTAAATGAGCAAAGTAGCCGAGTGAACACAAATTGCTAGTACACTATTATGTTGGGTGGTTTTATTTATGTAGCGAAACTCTGTCATCAAATATCAAGTAATTTGATTGTCTTTGAACCCTTATTTACGTTGCATGGCAATCATGAAAACAAATTGCTAGCACTCTGTTTGGTGGTTTCATGTAGCAAAATTCTATTATCAAATATCAAGTAATTTGCTTCTCACAGGTAATCCGACGGGTTCCGTGGTCTAGTAATTACCAGCAGATTCCGTAATAATATGTGTGCTATTTCGCTGTGTATCCCGTGATAACCTTCGTATGTTATTTCGTTGTATATCTTTGGAATAAGACTCTACACAATCTTAAAGGGATTAATCTAAGTAAAAGAGTGAGATATACTCTAAATGAAATATATATATATATATATATATATCAAGTAATTTGATTCATATTTTAAACCCCTATCTACCTTGCACAATATTATTACGCGCTTTTCCTCTTTACCAGGGGAAAAAGAAACGGAAGTCTACTGATTAGGAAAACCTGAACTAGTCACGTGCAGAACACATGTTGTGAGAGTAGCTAACGACTGGCGCCAAAAGGAGCAGCGAGTTCTGCTACATCAAGAAATTTTACTATATCTCATCAACCGAAACATGCGTTTTACCTTCCATCTCATCGTTGTATATGGTTTATCTACCAAAAACCCTAGTCATTCTTTCTGTATTGTTGCCAAGATTCTTGATTTCTGTGGTAGAGAAGGTCAAATATTCAATCCCTCAAATATCGAAGGAGGATTACCTGCGCCTATATAGTTTTACAAAGTCAGCAAGACATACAAGAAAGCCAAAAGGAAACCAATAAAAAACCCAATCCCGTAAATGAGATTCATCATTTCGGGCTTAATTTAACGTAAATCTTCCCTGGGGCTATCCTTATTCTTATCTCTTTTTATTCATCTGGGTTCGGTTCAATTTCTCTCATTTTTTTGGTGTGGAGTTATACTTACATTGCGTATACATATACATATACATATATATATGGGGGTTTATGTTAATCTTCTGATTCTTCATTGGAGCGACTATTATTGGGGCTTGAAGGGATTTGGAAACATAAGAGGATATATCTGTGCCAATATAGGCAAGGAGGCTTTACTTGTAGAACGTATAAAATACTTAAGGTGAGATAAGTTTTTGTCAATGAGTTTCTCTTTTCAGCTTATCCATGATGCATGTTCTCTAGACAGATTCTTGATTTTTGTAAATGTTCGTTTGTTCGTTTGAACCACAATGATAGGGAAGGGTGCTAAATTTATGGAAATTAATTGAAGAGCAATGGAAGAATTTTGGAAGATAATTGGATTATTTTACATTGTTCTAGCAAAAGTTAATTGTTGCGTGTACTGCACATTAATTGCCTTCAGATTTGAAGCCTATTATTTTGGATTAGATCATTGAAGGTTCCTGGTGGATTTTGTTCCCCCCCAACACCTAATTCTATAGAACCTCAGTGTCCCCTTCTTGTTTCTTATTTCATTTGGTATAATGATTAATTTTCATTTGGAATATACAGAGAGTTTTATATAAGAGTCATGTAATTTTTTTCAGGTATGGACTCTGAGCATGGAAGTGGAAGTAGCAGGCTTCCAAGAATTTCGGAAGCAGATGTAGATTTGGATGACTCATTTGACCCATCAACTGTGATGGATTTTGAACATTCAGGAGGATCCAGAACAAATTCAGAAATTGCAACAAGTGAGGTTGCAGCTAGCACAATAGATACTTCTAAGTCATTCAATTCTCTGCCTTCATCTTCGTCAGAAAATTCATCTCACGTTTTCTTTCAAGTGAATCCAGCCATGATTCCCATGTCCAAAACATCTGATCATGAATCCCCACCAAAATCAGAGGAAAACGCCAATTCACTGCTTAAGGATGGAAAAAATGATGTTCTATTCCAATTGGAAGAATTATTTGGATCTTTACATTCCAGCTCACAAAAATCAGATGTCACTGATGAATTTGTAATTCCAATCTTGTCACCAACACATTCTCCTCCTATTCAAGTAATGGAACGACCAAGAGGATATGATCCTGATCGTATTCCAGCGTCAGTGTTTGCAAAGCCTGCTTCACCAGTTGATTGGAGTGTCGCGTCTACTGAATCTTTATTCAGCATTCCGATAGGAAATGCCAGTTTCTCCAGAGATCATGCTTTTAAGCCAGTTGGAGACACAAACAAGCCCAATGAATTTGGCAACTCTGGAGAATTGTACGTTTCGGAAGAATTTTACAAATCAGGAGAACTAGATACTTTCAGTGAACAGTACAGATATAGAGAACTCCAAAAGTCAAGTGAGCTTGTCAGGTTGAGGCAACACTCTCCTGTAACAAAAGGAGAACATAAAGCACAAGGCGCTGATCTTCCGAACAGAACAATCAGAGATGAAGGTGGGATAAATCTAGAAGCCAAATCTTTTGCTAATCCAATGTAAGTAGAATTTTTTTTCCTCCTATAACATGAAGTTGAGGATCCTTAGATATTCAATCAACAGATACATTGTCTATACAGATTTGACTCCTTTATTCAGTTTTTCTGCTTTTATATAAATTGAAGTTTTCTTTTCGATCTCATGAACATGTTGTTTCACTGTTGCTTGATGGTATTTATATTTATCCTAAATGCTCACATGTAGATTAACATAATGTTTCAAATTTTGCTTGTGTTTCTAACTATTTCTGAACAAGGGATAGCTATGATTTTTGTCTTTTTTTCAGAAAGAAGAAGTCATCAAAGTCATCATGCGCTTGTTGCTCAAACTGCTGTTACAAGTGTCCAAGCTGCTGTTGCAAGTGTCCAGGTTGTTCGAGCTGCTGCTGTAAATGGCCAAGCTGCTCATGTAAGTGGCCAGGCTGCTCAATCTGCTGCTGTAAAAGTCCTTGTTGCTCTTGTAAGTCCTTGAGTTGCCCGTGGAAGTGGTCGTGCTTTCCAAGTTGCTGCTGAAATTGGCTAAACTGCTCAGGTGTTGTGGCAAATGCGAAAGTGGCTGCTGCAAGCCTTTAAGCTGGCCAAGCTGCCATTGTCAGTGGCCGAGCTGCTCCTCTATAAGTGTTCGAACTGGTTAAGTTGTCGCTTCAAGGGACAATCTTCAAATTCTAGCAACATATCCTGCTACAGTTGGAAATGTACAAGAAAGTCTGCTGTTGAAAGCATGCTTCTCCGTCTCTCCCTCTATCTAATTCCTTGTTCTGATTGGTATATTCTTTACTATTTTCTTTGTAATTTGAGGTATTTGGTCAATGCAGATATAAGTACCAATGCATTATACTATATCCAGTAACTGTTTCTATTTGATGCAGCACGACTGATGGAGGATTAAATATACTTAGAAATAAATTTAGCTGAAGAACAGTGCCTACAGCCTTCAAGCTCCACAAAGGCTCCAAAAGACAGATTAAGGAAGGATATGTCTCGCAGCTTGTACCATTAACTCTTGAAAGGTTGAGGGGCTTAATACCTTACTGCTTCTCTTCTCTATCTTCCGCATTGGCCCCTTCAAGCTGCTGACATGACGGCCAATCTACCGAAGCGTTGGAGTAAACGTAAAGAAGGTCTGCAGGAATTTACCTTCTGATGCTTGGAATTGCAGGACACAGTTAGACTACGAAGATTTTTAACAACTGACATAATAGTTATCTTGGATTATGTAGTCAATCAGGTTAATTAGGGTATGATTACCTACCTCTCGTGGCTGGTTGTTTAGTGCAAGAAAGTGCATTATTCTTTCTAATTTCTGAGAAGAGAGAATTCCAACACCCCTTTTTGGTATTGGAGAGGCAGAGAGACTTTATAGTATCTATCATAGGATACTATTTGTTTCTTTTACATTGCAATTTGGATAATCTTTGATTTCGTCAACACCCTTTTTGGTCTACAGTATTTCGTAGTGCCATAATTGTATTTTGCATGTTTGTTGGTGAGTATACGAAGTACTGTGCCTGCGATTTACTCACATCACGAACCACAAGCTCTATAGTGCTGCTTGAAAAAATTTTCTGACTTATCTATCTTCCATCCAAACGCCCGTGTGAATGATCCAGCGACAGCGCCTCTCATCAGTGAATCTTGAGATCACAAGTTCGAATCTCCGCTACGCTGGATTCCTCTACGCACTTAACGTGTTCGAGCCGAGTTAGGGCGCCGGGCCCGGACCGCAGGGGATTAGTCTGGCCCCGTAAGGATTGATCCGGACACTCCTGTGTCGAAAAAAAAAAAAAAAAAAAAAATCTTCCATCCAAACGAACCTAACTGAAAAATGCATCCATATAACCATTCCATATAGTATTACAAGTTTATGACTTCAATTCGGCTTGAAGAATTCTACCAGTTTAAGGGGTTATGACTTATCACAAACAACCGATACCACAATTAATGCTTTATCTAAATTAGGTAGTAGAAAGAAAAAAAAAAAAAGAGATTCTGTTAATTTGAAAGCATAATTTGGAGTTGAATCAAGAACAATATGATGAATTACAGGCCAAGCTCTTGTGCTGATTTGCCCAAAAGGCTTGGTGAAATATGAAGATTTTATTAGCTTTTCTCAAAAATCATGCAAGTCCACATCTCCTCCGAGGGAAATGATGATGATTTATCGGATCGAGGCCCCCCTCAATAATAATTACTAATTCAACTCATTCGAACCAGTCAGTATAAATATTAAAATTCCACTCTGGACCCTTAAATTATAGGATGCATTTTTACTTTAGTTCTTAAATTTCATTTTGGACACTTTACATCATAAAATATAATATGAAACTCATCGCACGGAAAAGGTAGGATGTATTTCATGCCCTTAACAGATAAAATTTCTCACAGTAAGTATAATGGCTAAAGCGAGAGTGCATCTACTGTTTAATAATCCAAATTTGAAAAATTTATAGTAGACTAGAATATTACAAATAGACACTAAAACATTAGATGTAGACACCAGCATCCAAAAAAAATGTATACAAGAGTATTGTTCACCTACATATTCAAAATTTCTCCAAGTTTTAATTTCTACTTACAATTTTCCAATAAACAAAATTTCAATTTTGAATTTTTTTGGTGTAATTAAATTTGATGATTTTCAAGAATCCCACCTCTATCTTTATGTTGTAAAACTACTTGGAAACAAGGGGCCCTTACGTCTGCTTGCTATCCTATACGTTCAATTTATTTAAGATGCGAATGATCGATTGACATCAGCGAGTGAGAAAATAACAATTTATTGAAGCCAAGTATTCTACGATTCCTTTTAAGAAACACAAGTTGTCCAAGAACAACAACGGGTCCTTAGCTCAGTGGTAGAGCATTTGACTGCAGATCAAGAGGTCACCGGTTCGAACCCGGTAGGGCCCTTCCGTTGTAAACAGAATTGGTGACTCCATGGCCCAATGGATAAGGCGCTGGTCTACGGAACCAGAGATTCTGGGTTCGATCCCCAGTGGAGTCGGTCTCACACGTCTGCTTCTCATTTTTCCTCTACGTTTTTTGGCTTGTGCATTTTCGTTTTCATTTTTCTTCTACGTTTTGGCTTGCGCATATTCGTTTTCAAGAGGACACTTCAAATGAAAAAACTGGTGAGCATCATTTTGGATTCAGTAAGTTTAGAAATCTGAGTCATATAACAAACAAGATTCTATCAAAATAAGTATATATTTGGCCTAACCAAAAACATTGCTGCAGTTTACTTTTGCAAACAATTGGTTAGTCTAAATAATTTGCAACTATTGATGCTTTGACATTAGTTCTCCCCTCGGCGAGATCACATTGCATCACTCACACTTCAAAAACGAAAGCATTGCGTCAACAAATTCTCTCAGCAGTCAGCTTTATGTTCCTAGAACTCAAAATCTCAACCACTGTATTGTGGTATAAGCAAGAAACCCTCCAGCTGAACAAGAAAACTGCTTCCAGCAACTGTGACTAGAAGACAATAATAACTCACATATGTCAAGACAGCTATAAAAGGATGAGAAGCAATAGAAGTTTACTCTGCATTTCCTAAAACAATCCGCCATGGTACATACAAAATTTTCTCTTCTTGTACCATAATTGTCAGTCCAAGCACGATTATCCATTTATACATAAAGGTTCCCCACTGGGGAAGGATAAAAAAGGAATAAGAAATGATTTAAAAAAAAAAAAAAAAAGGTTGAACATCCTTGCCTTATTTTTTTTTTTTCACATGAAAGGAGATGCATTAGGGTTCACTACTATGTGCTTGAGTGGATGAGTAACATCGCTCCCTCCAGCATGCTTCACAAACTCTGCTGGGGAAAGGAAATTACCATGACACACACACATTATCCTTACTTCTTCTCCCTTTCCATACTTGTATAGTATTCCATCTACTCTTCTCCCATTTGGACCATCTCCTTTGGTAAAGACACATGGCATGTCTTCCAACGCATTCATCCCAATTTCTTTCCCTTGATTTTTTGGAATTTCAGCTTGTTTAGATGGATTTTCCATCTCCACACCAGATGGTCTGCCAAGACTGTCCCTTAACTTTGTCCTAGAAGAACCAACATCCTGACCAATTGCTTCTTGCAATGATTTAATGCTGACAGGACTAAGGTCATCACAACTGCTGGATCCTGTTGAAATAAACATGAAGATAAGATATAGGAGCTCCACACCAAAAATAAGAAGTGCTAAAAGTAGAGCCTTCTAGGACTGCACAATCCATTTCCCTATAAAATGTATTATCTATGCGTCGCATGCACTTGGAGCCCTCGTCATTTCTTTGTAAAATGGGCATAAACTGATCATCAAACTCAAGAACTACAAAATATCAGCACCTAACCAAAACTCTTTCCAGGTGAAGATGTAAATCCACAGTACTTTCATACTTTTCGTGTCCAATAAATTATTCATATGGTGATGTGTTGAATATAACACAGAAGATGGATAACATGAAAAACACTTTTTGTGAATGGGCCTATTACTAGAGTGACTGTATATCCAACTTCAAGCAATCTGGAGATAAAATCGCACTTCGTCATAAGCTTCACGGTCATTTGTGTCTGATACAGAAAGTTAGGCCCTGCGACGTCGAAAGAAATGAAGGGGCAAGACGTACTAGTCAAAGAAAAAATGTTGAAACTCCTTAAGTTTGAGAATGACCTAGGACAACTTTCATAAACCAAAATGTTTATCACCAACAACTGAAATGCCAAATGTTCCTCAAGATCATCAGTCTACATGCCATAACCATTTATCAAATATTACATTGAGTATAAAGTTCCAAATGTTACCTAACAATTGAGTGCATCAACGTTAAGACATAGTGAATCATGTTTGTCACAGATTTTGCTAGGGCTCTACCAATTGATATGAAGAATATCCATCAACAATTAATTGCTATCCACTACTACAATCAGATTAAGCAGCCATAATGTGCTTAGACAAGCTGCTATTTAATATACAATAAGATCCCCATCGGTCTATAGTTCATAGGCAAGTAATGGTAAATCGATAACAAGTGAAGTTGTCATTTTCTCAATAAGATATAAAGAAATAATATACTGTGGGCACCACTGCCTCTGGAGTCACTTCTGCATATCATGATTTATGAGAACTCAACATGCATTCAAATCGTAGTGTTGCTTCCACTTTTTGAATTTACCTAGTAATGCATTATAATTAATGTCACCAAATATAGTTTATATTTTCCTTTCCGTTGCTCCTGCTGTTTCATCTAGCAGAATTGGAAAAGAGAAGCCAGATTGTAGTCCTAAAAGATAATGAACACTATCACAGACTACATAAAATGTAGAAAAATGTATAATAAAAAGTACTTTTTCTTCTGCAAAATTTTCAGCTATTTTATTTAGCTTTGTGAAACCTTTATCCACTACTAGTAGGTCTAGTGATTTATTCTGATTGAGAAATATGTAATTGAATTCTGAAGTCAGAAATGGAGCTCAAAGTGAAGAAAGAAAAGGCGGGAAAGCAATTTTGCCGGTGCACCATGTACATTGGTTAGGCCTCCAGCTTTTAATGCAGAGTCGAATAGG